GAAACACGGGGCGCGCCGACATGGGTGGCGGAAACGCATGTGCGGGCCGCCACTGGGGCCTCCAGTGGAGCCCCCTATGGGCCCCCGAAACATGATGCTGCTGCGGGGGGGGGGGGCCGGGATGGGTGGCGGAGACGCATGTAAGCGCCGCTACTGGGGCCTTCGGTGGAGCTCCCTATGGGGCCACGAAGCGCGTGAGGGGTGTACTGGGATGTGTGGCGGGGACGCATGTGAGCGCCGCCACTGGGGCCTTCGGTGCAGCTCTCTATGGGGCCACGAAACGTGTGAGGGGTGTGCCGAATTGGGTGCGGGTGGTGACGCATGCGGGCGGTGCCACTGGGGCCTTCGGTGGAGCTCCCTATGGGGCCACGAAACCTGTTGTTGTGAGGGGCGTGCCGGGATGGGTGGCGGGGACGCATGTGAGCGCGGCCGCTGGGGCCTTCGGTGGAGCTCCCTATGGGGCCACGAAACGTGTGAGGGGTGTGCCGAATTGGGTGGGTGTGGGTGACGCATGTGAGCGCCGCCACTGGGGCCTCCGGTGGATGATGGGGCCACGAAACCTGTCAGGGATGTGCCGAAATGGGTGTGCGGGACGCATGCGCATGTAAGCGCCGCCACTGGGGCCTTCGGTGGAGCTCCCTATGGGGCCACGAAGCGTGTGAGGGGTGTGCCGAAATGGGTGTGGGTGACGCATGCGGGCGCGGGCACTGGGGCCTTCGGTGGAGCTCCCTATGGGGCCACGAAACGTGTGAGGGGTGTGCCGACATGGGTGTGGGTGACGCATGTGGGCGCGGGCACTGGGGCCTTCGGTGGAGCTCCCTATGGAGCCACGAAGCGTGTGAGGGGTGTGCCGAAATGGGTGTGGGTGACGCATGCGGGCGCGGGCACTGGGGCCTTCGGTGGAGCTCCCTATGGAGCCACGAAACGTGTGAGGGGTGTGCCGAAATGGGTGTGGCTGACGCATGCGGGCGCGGGCACTGGGGCCTTCGGTGGAGCTCCCTATGGAGCCACGAAACGTGTGAGGGGTGTGCCGAAATGGGTGTGGGTGACGCATGCGGGCGGCAGCACTGGGGCCTTCGGCGGAGCTTCTACTATGGGGCCACGAAACGTGTGAGGGGTGTGCCGAATTGTGTGTGGGTGACGCATGCAGGCGGCAGCACTGGGGCCTTCGGCGGAGCTCCTATGGGGCCACGAAACGTGTGAGGGTGTGCCGAATGGGTGTGGTGACGCATGCGGGCGGGGCACTGGGGCCTTCGGTGGAGTTCCCTATGAGCCACGAAACGTGTGAGGGGTGTGCCGAAACGCATGCGGTGGGGCCTTCGGGAGCTCCCTATGGGGCCACGAAACGTGTGAGGGGTGTGCCGAACGCATGCGGTGGGGCCTTCGGCGGATCTCCCGCATGTGGATGGAGCCACGAAACGTGTGAGGGGTGTGCCGAATGGGTGTGGGTGACGCATGCGGGCGCGGGCACTGGGGCCTTCGGTGGAGCTCCCTATGGAGCCACGAAACGTGTGAGGGGTGTGCCGAAATGGGTGTGGGTGACGCATGCGGGCGCGGGCACTGGGGCCTTCGGCGGAGCTCCCTATGGAGCCACGAAACGTGTGAGGGGTGTGCCGAATGGGTGTGCGTGACGCATGCGGGCGCGGGCACTGGGGCCTTCGGCGGAGCTCCCTATGGGGCCGCGAAACGTGTGAGGGGTGTGCCGAAATGGGTGTGCGTGACGCATGCGGGCGCGGGCACTGGGGCCTTCGGCGGAGCTCCCTATGGAGCCGCGAAGCTTGTGAGGGGTGTGCCGAAATGGGCGCGCGTGACGCATGCGGGCGCGGGCACTGGGGCCTTCGGCGGGGCTCCCTATGGAGCCACGAAACGTGTGAGGGGTGTGCCGGATTGGGTGTGCGCGATGCATGCGGGCGCGGGCACTGGGGCCTTCGGCGGAGCTCCCTATGGGGCCACGAGACGTGTGAAGGGGTGTGCCGAATTGGGCGTGCGTGACGCATGCGGGCGCGGGCGCTGGGGCCTTCGGCGGAGCTCCCTATGGGGCCACGAAACGTGTGAGGGGTGTGCCGAATTGGGTGTGCGTGACGCATGCGGGCGCGGGTACTGGGGCCTTCGGTGGAGCTCCTACGGGGCTACGAAGCGCTGCACTGGGTGGGTGAAACGCAGGGAAGGGGGGGAGGAGGGGGGAGGAGGGAGGAGGAGGAGAGGAGGCGGAGGAGAGGAGGAGGAGACGCGGGGCACCGTCTCTTCAAAACGAGGACCCAACACCACAGGATGGTTGGGAATAGAAAAGCAGGAACAGGTTGATCTTGCACGGGCTTGTTGTGAGCAGGGCGAATGCGGAGAATGATAATATTGTGGTCGCTTATCATGCAAGTTGGGTTTTCGAGCGGAGAATCATCAGCCTCGATTTCGATGTCCATGAAGGGGATGTCGCGCGAAGCCAGGGAGGCGAAGCAGCGGTCGATGGTGCTCTCCGTGTGGTTGGCAACCGCGCGGTGCGCGGTGGCCATCGCGGTTATCTCGAGCATGTCCTTGAAGAGGTTCTTCCAGAAGAGCGGCTGGTATTGGTACCTGTTCGCCTCGACCGCGGTGGAGTCGATGGGAGACGATAAACTCCTCGGCGGATGCGCCGAGATGTTGAAGTCGCCGAGCATGATGAACGTCGTCCTGTGTGCATCAGCTGCCGCGTGATCACGTTGTAGCTGCCAATGTTCACGAATAGCGGCTCGATCACTCGGCGACAGGTCGCAGTTGTGAACGTTGAAGATCACAGTCTCATATTGACGCGACGCTTCCCGTATGCTGAGCGAAGTAGCTCTCCCTGGAACGACTTCAGCAAAGAAGTGCTGAGGGCATTCGTCGGGTGGGCGGCTCTGCTCGACCTGGTCGTACGGCACGAGAAAGCCAATGCCGCCCGCCGTCGTGTAGTTCGGGACGCTGGAGTGATAGGCTCGATATCGATGAGGAGTGGAGCGCGCCAGCATGTCCATGTCGAAGCTCGAGCCGTGTGTCTCTTGTAGCGCAATCAGGGCTCGCTGTCGCATGAGAGGTAGCAGAAGAGATCGTTTAGCAGCGCGCCGTTGGTCAGAGGATCCATGAAGAGCTTGAGTATTCCAGTAGGCGATCTGCATGCCGTGGTCCGTCTGCTTGCATAACCACGGCGCCCAGCGTGGGCTAAAGCCACTGCGCCGCTGTGAGTGCATCAGAGAAGCTGTTGTCGAAGGCCGTGCGGATGTTCTTCTGGTGGTCGTCATCAATGCCGGCGCGGACCGCGGCAGTCGTCCATCTGATTGTGGTGGGCTCCTCTGGGGTACTGCCGACGTGGATCTGTACCAAGACCTCGTTGCTGCTGGTGATGTAGCCCTGACCGCGGTGAAGCCGAAGAGGAAGTTGCGCGAAGCGCTCCGTGATGAGGGTGCCGAGGCGCTTGAGCTGTACTTCGCGTCGAACTGTCCGAGGGCTCTTATCAGCAGAGACGTAGAGTTGTACCGCAGGGCCACCATCTCTGGCGAGCTCGAATGTGCGCAAATCTCGTCCTTGTCGGAGTGTTTCGTGAAGTCGCCTTGCTCTGGGTTCTGCCAGCACCGTGCCGCACGTGACGGTGAAACTGTGCTTCTTGTCCAGTCCCTTGCTGTTGAAGGAGATCTGCTCGAACGTGACGCTGGCATCGCGGAGCCAGGCGGCGAGTGCAGTTTTGAGCTCCTCCGTGCTGAAAGTGGTGGCGGCTCCACACCAGAATGTACATGGATCTGCTTGTCTGTCGAAGGCCGTGCTCGTGATGTCCAGGCATGGATTGCGAGCTTCTGCCTCGCCAACGATCCGCTGAAGTTTCGCCACTGATTCACGAAGCTCTCGGGTAGCGGTCTCTGTCTTCTCAACGCGATACTTTGTACTCTGCCGTTCTCTCTCTGTCCGCTCGCTCTTGGCATGGAGGTCGGCCGTGATGGATGTGATGGTGGCCATGAATTGTCCTCTAGTTTTTTCCACGACTGCGTTGGCTGTCTTCTCGAACCCAGCAGCAGCAACCTTGACCTGAGCGGACAGTGCCTCCTCCAGTTGGTGTCGAAGGTGAGCAGGTAGTTCTTGCAACTGGGTCTTCTGGGCGGAGTGGAACCATGGATCCTGAGGCTGCGCAACGACTCCTTCCGCTCGTTTTCCACTGGTTGGCTGAGTCTCGCTCGGTGGCATGGCACTCGCTCTTCGGCAAGAGGCACGTCACCCAAGAATATGAAGGCCGTTGCCCCAAGAGCAACCGCAAATATATATGGATATGTGAGCGGCCTGCACGCTCGTGATAGGAACAGGCAAAAATTCTTGGAAGCTGGCCGCGGGCTAGAGGTATCCATTTGTTGGCGTGGCCAACTGAAAATCTTGAGCCAAAATGGCTACGGAAGGAGGAGGAGGAGGAGGAGGAGGAGGAGGAGGAGGAGAAGGGGGACGTGGGACGGCCTCTCCTCGTAAGGCGCTGGCCGTGGGGTTCGGCGATGATGGGATCGGATCCTGCTCCTCCTGTTGCTCCTTCTGCTCCTACTCATCCTCCTCCTCCTGCTGCTGCTCCTCCTCCTCCTCCTCCTCCTCCTCCTCCTCTTCCTACACCTCCTCCTCCTCCTCCTCCGCCTGCTCCTCCTGCTCCTCCTGCTCCTCCTCCTCCTCCTCCACCTGCTCCTCCTGCTCCTCCTGCTCCTCTTCCTCCTCCTCCACCACCATCACGGCCCCAGCAACCATTGTCAACGCCATCGTCGCCATCGTCCTTGTCGCTGGAATCGCCGTGGTCATCATCGCCACCGCTCTCGCTACCGCAAGCATCATCGTTCCCATCATCGTCCGCATCATCCTTACCACCATATTCGTCCGCATCGCCATCTTGATCATCCTCCGTACGGTTCCCATCATCACCACCACATCCTGCGCATCGCCAACCTCCTCGTCGTCCCGCTTCCCCTCTCCTCCATCGTCCATCCCTGCTTCCCCTCCGCCCATCCTCCCTGCTCAACCCGCGCCTGGCCATGCTGCCACTGGGCGCCCTGCTGCTCGCTCTGGTCGCCCGCCAGCCTGGCCCGATCCCGATCCATCCGCCCCTGCTCGTAAAGCTGCTGGATTTGCTGCATCCGGAGCTGCAGCATCAGCTCCCGCTGCGACAGGCGCGGCAGGTGCGCCAGCGGCTCCTGCTGCGGCGGTTCCCCAGCCTGTGTCTGCGGCAACTCATGGGAGCCCACCATACCATCTTGCTGGCTCTTGCGCACCGACGCCAGTCGACGCAAATCGCAAATCGACGCAAATCGACGCCAATCACCGCTAAGTCGACGCTAAATCCGCGCGGTCTCATCTGTCACCAGACGCTAGCGCTCGCCGGCGCACTGCAACGACGGCATTGCGAGCACACGCAGGGCTCCTACGACTTGCTGCCCGGGCCTGCTGCTGCGCGAGCAGCTGAGCCTGCTGCTGTGCGAGCAGCTGCTGCCGCAGGGCGCGGCCCGGGTGCTCCCGCTGCAGCAGCTCCAGCCGCTGGCGCGCCAGCTCCTAAAAGGGGCCCAGGGACATACACATAAATACACACAAATCCCAGAATTACTTATATTTTTTAATATTTTCTGGGTTTCCGCCTTCCCCCTCTGCTTCCCATATTTTCTTACATGTTCCTGGGGATCGACGATTAATTGTGCCTATTTTTCCCCCTCCTGAGCTCCGCCTGGTCCAGCGCCGAGGGCGGGGCGGAGCGCTCGCCCTCCACGGCTAGCCACGGCTCCGACGGCACGCCGCGCGAGCCGGGGCCCCCGAAGGTCGGGCCTGGGGGCCCCCCAAAGGAGCGACGATCAAAAACGGGTCTTCCGCGAGATGGCACAGCGACATGCAACCATCAGACGATCAAAAACGGGTCTTCCACGAGTCTTCAAAAACGGGTCTTCCACGATCAAAAACGGGTCTTCCACGAGTCTTCAAACACGGGTCTTCCACGATCAAAAACGGGTCTTCCACGATCAAAAACGGGTCTTCCACGAGGTGGCGTGCCACGCGGGCCGCCCGCGCGGCACGCCACCATGGAGACGAGGGCGCCTACGCGCGACCTTACGCGGGCAGCTCACGCGCCCATGCCGGCGCAGACGACCCCGTTTGCTTGCGCTGCTCAAATGGGGCCGGAGTTGATGGGGTCGGAGGGTCGCGCCGCACCGTCGATGCATCACCGATGCACCGGCGGTGCGTCGGCGACGCCGGGGATGCACTGGCGACGTCGGTGTGGAGAACACCTGGCTCCGCATCCAGCCGCACCGCCCATGAGTCGGCGGTGCGGCGCGGTCCTGCGAGCCCCTCTGTTCGGACCCCACCCGGGAGGCCCAGAGGGCCCAGGGACGGCATCTCCGTCCGCGCGGCTGGGCCGCCCGGTGGGCCGCCGCCCGCGTGGGTCCACTCGACGTCTCGCGCCTGCAGCTGCCCGAGGTGCGAGTGGCAGCAGGTGCGGGCGGCAATGCGCGGAGGAGGGCCGGGCGAGCCCACGGCGGCCCTCCCTGGCGAGTGGTGTCGGCACGGCTCCTGGCTGCGCACGGGCAACCCCCCCGAGTAGTCCTGGCTGGCCTCAAGAGGCCTCCCGAGTACGCTGCGCTGCGCTGCGCTGCGCTCCGCCTGGTCGGAGCAGCCGGCCCTGTGCAGGGCTCGGGGATGCAGAGGAAAAAGAACCATGCACATCCACCGATTTTGGCCAGGTCCGTCCTGAGCCCAAGATGGGTGCATACGCCCTCCTGCTTTGGCCAGGCAGGCATATGCACCATCCTGGGGCCAAGGATGGGCCTGGCCAGGACCGGTGCATGTGCATAGTTCTCTTCCCCCGAGGATCGGCATAAACAGTGTAAACCAAAAACAAATCCGAAGAGAAGAAGCTGTCAGAGCTGCACGTCGTCGTGCCGACGACGTCGCGGACGGCCTCTCGTGCCACGCGGCCAGCCTTCAGCGCCGCGCACGCAGCCGGCGACCACCCGTGCGCAGCGCGAGGCCCTGGACTATGCGGAAGGCCTGTCGAGGCCGGCTGAGACTATATTTACGTCGGGCCTGTCCCCCTACAGGAGGATTGCTGGACGAAAAATGAAAAATGATCAACAGATGCTCACAGATGGTCAAAGACAGTCCAAAAAACATCTCCCCCCGACGATTTGTGTTTACAATCTTTGAACACTCCTCCTGCAGAGGGACGGGCCCGACTTAACTATGTGGGGGGGGGGCTGCCTGTGCACAGCCCGAGGCCGCACCCGCGCATGTCGTCGCTTCCAGTGGGGCACCCTGGAGAGGCTCCGCCCCACGGCCAGAGAGCCGCCTCGAAGCGCGGGCCGGCACGGGCCCCGAGAGGGAAGCCCACGGAAGGGGCCCAGGGGCACACGAAGCAGTACACACAGATCCCAAGAGCCCCCACAGCTTCCAGATTCTTGTCTCCCCCCCTGCTTCCCATAGTTTCCCATATCTCCCTGGGGATCGACGATTCATTGTGTCTGTGCCTTTTCCCGAGGTGGGCAAAGAAATGAAGCAGGAAGGAGTTCAGGCCCTCCCAGAGAATGGCAGAGCACAGTAAAAGCATATCTCGAGTATTGAAGTGGGAGGGCGTTGGAAGCAGACTGGGCTGCCGCCCGCCCCCTGAAGAGGAAGGTAAAGGTGGAGACCACTCGATCATTGAAGTAGGAAGGCGCCCAAAGTGGATTGAGATCCGAAAACCCAAAAATTGGGGAAACCCAAATGTACCGGTACCGCAATTCCCCAGACCTCTCCCGGGGTGCGTTCTGACCAGGATCTCGAGGCGAATCCAGCGGTGACGACGAGGGCCGCCCAGGACGCTGAAAAAAGAGGAAAACGAGGGAAAGTTTGGTAGAGGCAGGGGTATATTTTCCTCCTCTGAACCGGGATCCGAAAATCCCCTAACAAAAATTCGACTGTCAACGACCGGCGCGCAGCGCGCAGCCGCAGCCTCCAGGGGCCCTCCTCCGACCTGCAGCCGAGGGCGCCGCCCAGCAGCATCCCGGCGACCACGCCCACGGCGACATCGGACGCGGCGCTGTCGTCCTCGGCGGAGGGGGGGGGCCCCAGCCTCGTCCTCGTCCTCGGCTGTCTTCCTCGTCCTCGTCCTCGGCTGTCGTCCTCGGCGGAGGAGCGGCAGGTGGAGGACCCAGAGATCCAGCGCATTGAAAAAAGTCCGGACGGAGGGTTCTCGCATTTCACGGTCGGGGATCTTCTGACCCGGGTCAATCCAGACCCAGGTCAGTCAGGCCTTGCAGCATCCTGTAAGATCCTGCCAGATCCTGCACCCAAACCAGGGTCAATGCGAAGGGTCCTGCAGGATCCTGCAGGATCCTGCACCCAAACCTGGGTCAATGCGACCCTGGTCGTGCAAGATCCTACAAGATCGGGCGCCCTGGCTGACCCCCGTTTGCATTGACCCCCGTCTCAAGGCTGCCGATACGGCCTCTATAGGGGCCCTCGCCAGGCCCTCGGGACCGTCAAAGAGCGACTCGGGATGAAGAAAACCGGTCCTCGGGAGTGGGTCGACGAGGAGCGTTCGAGGGTAGCCTTCCCCCCTGGATGCTCAAGAAAACATCACACAGGCACGCAGAACACCAGGGTACGCTCTCCGAGCCGACCGCGATCTTATATACCTCAAGCTGACCGCAGGAGCATGATGGGCATGTTTTCCACCACCACCACCACCACCACAAGTTGTAGGGGGAGGGGGTCCTCCTCCTCCTCCTCCTCCTCCTCCTCCTCCTCCTCCTGCTCCTCCTCCTGCTCCTCCTCCTGCACCTCCTCCTGCACCTCCTCCTGCACCTCCTCCTGCACCTCCTCGTCCTCCTCCTCCTCCTCGTCCTCCTCCGCCTTCCCCCCTCCAACTGATGGTGGTGGTGGTGGTGGTGGTGGAAAACAGGCACATCAGAGCAAGTGGAAGGGGGTGGGGGAAGGACGAGGAGGAGGAACCGCAGGAGCAGGATCTTTGTTCGGCCACGACGGCGCAGCCACATCGGCTTCAGCAGCAGCAGTGCGGGACCTGGTGGCGACTGCTTCAAAAAGCAGCCTGAGCATAGAGAGCAGTGCACTGCTGTGAGGACGCGATGGCAAGGAAGCCAGGAGCGAAATCGAGATGGGAGAAGGACTAGGTAGAAGGGCTCCTCGCCAAAAGCTCGACTTGGGGCAAAGCCTGAAGACGGTGCGGCCAGTCCACCCACCACCAGCCCGAGAACGGAGACTGCCAGGGGGCGCAACCACACCAAGGCAGCCTCGAGAGATCTCACAAGCAGAAGGAGGGAGAAGACGAACTGGAAAGGTTGATGGCGGAGCGGGGCATTTTCTCGCCCCGCGCTCCCGCCCTGGAACAACAGAGCCCCCTTTCCAAAGGGTCAGCCGGAGCCGTCCGACAAACGATCGCCCTCCAACGCCCGACTGCTCGCCACCCCCGCATCGAGAAGACAGGCCCAGCAGCACAGGCAAAGGGACTACTGAGGCCCAACCTGGTGAGGAAAGCGGTTGACCGCGGCTGCTCGAAGCACCCTCAAACTTTAGTGTGTCGAAGCATGCTAGACGTGTGTCAGTACGCCCATCATCCTTCTGCTTAGACAGATGTGGTTTCCTGGCTTTACACAGCGATGATTGCGACCGTAGTGAGCTGCACGCGAGGGTGGTACGACGCATAGTGCAGCTAGCTCCCTGACGGATGCACCAGAGGAGTGGCAGCTATATGAAACGACGCAGTGAACCATCCGAACAGTCAAAGGCAACTGCGCGGTGACCAAACGCCTGCTGCTTAAGTACCCGCGTGACGCCTGGAATCATTCACGCACCGACCTCGTGGCGGCTTCACGTCATCACGCCAAAATGCGGGGCACACCTCGAAATCCCCGACCACCACCCCCACCTGCGCCTCCATGACGGGCACGTCCGAGAGCGCGCGAGCCGGGGGCGAGCACGCGGCCCCGTCGAGCGAAAACTCTGGCACACGGCAAGAGGATGGACACGAGAGTGCAGGCCCTAGCGATGCCTCTCGTGTCATCTACAGTCGGGGCGCTGACATAAGGAACCCCAAATAAGGAACGAGGCCCCTCTTCTCCAGAGATTAAACTTCGACTTCCCATCGAAAGCCTAAGGACAGCCTGAGGCAAACTGTGAAACAATTAAGGAACACGGAGCCCTCCCCAACGTCAAGAGTTCCTTCTTCAGCGCCCCGACTGTAGAGCCACCAGTTCTGAGAAGTCGTTCGGGCGGAGCTGGAGGCAGCATTGCGCACCAGCGTCTGCCACCGAACACCTTCCCCTGAGAAGCACTTCACTGGCCGGTTTGCCAGCCTCTTCAACAGCCAAATTCGCATTCACCTTGACGAGCTCCTCAATGAGGCTGTCTTCGAGCACATTGGCTTGCAGCAGCATGCCTGGGGGAAGTACCCGTACCCGACAATCTCTCTGAGATCGGTCAATTACCCGCGTGGACTACATTGGCACAGCCCGAACACCCTCGATGGGAAAATCACAAACTGAGGAACGACGCAACGGGCAGAAAACTCGCCCCCGCCCCCTGACGGGGCACTGCACGCCGCGGGAGGGCGGGCGGACGGACGGGCGCTCGCGTGCGCGCCGGGGCGCGGCCCCCTCCGGGAGCGGAGCGGCGGCGCCGTGGCGCCAAGGTACGGTGGTGTTATGGTAGAGCATGCCTTCGAAACGCATGCAGCAATTATAGGTGCATCAGAGGGGAGGGAGGGAGGGAGGGAGAGGCATCCTTCGAAGGGAGGGAGGGAGGGAGGGAGGGTTATGGTAGAGCATGCCTTCGAAACGTATACAACAATTATAGGTGCATCAGAGGGGAGGGAGGGAGGGAGAGGCCTCCTCGTTGTCGGAGTCGTTGTGAGTGCGTGTCGTGGATGATGATGCCGTCGTTGATGCTCCACGCTCGTGTGGTCACATGGCAGCCTCAAAGTTGGGAGCTGGAGTCGGAGCCGGAGTCGGAGAGATGGGATCCAGGAGTGGAGCCCGAGCCGGAGAAATGAGATAGGATGGGAGCCGAAGTCGAAAAAATGGGAGCCGGAGTCAGAACCGGGGTCGGAAGGATGTGAGCGGGGGTCGGAACGGGTGTCGGAGAGATGGGATCCGGCGTCGGAGCCGGAGTCAAAAAGATGGGATGGGATAGTCTGAAATTTGGGAGCTGGAGTCGGAGCCGGAATCGGGGAGATGGGATCCAGGGTTGGAGCCGGAATCGGAGAGATAGGATGGGTCGGAAAACTTTACAGCGCACAGCCCAGCATGAAGGTCACATCCGCCCATCTCTGCTGTGCCTTCTTCTGCAGCCCATCATACCGCTCGTTGTAGTCGATGTCGCGGTGTGTTGGTGCCACGTCGCTGGGTAGAGTCTGTGCTGGTCGTCTGTGCTGGCTTTGGTGTTGGTGTTGGCGCAGGGCGCCGGTAGTCGGTGTTGTAGTGTTTGGTTGTTAATGGTCGGTGCTTGTGGTCACGTGGTCGGCCGTCAGCGCTGCATGGCTAGAATCATGCAGCGACGAAGGCTCTCTCGAGTGAGTTCCACCATGCCGTCCGTGTCGCAGCTGTGAGGCACCTTACATCGTTGGTGTCGCGGTGGAGGTATCGTCGTGGTTGAGTGGCGTCGTCGTTGGCGTCGCATTGTGTGTCATCGTCGCTTGTCTGTCGATGCACATTGTGTAAGAGCTTCCGCAAATCGTCGTCCCATCGCTTGTGCTGGCCACCGTGCTGTCGATAACCCTGTTGTTTCGTGTCCCTCTTGGGATTCCATTTCAGAGCTCGCTGTGTCCACCTATTTGATGGGTGGGTCGCTACGCGTGCTGCCCACTGCCAAACCATTTTGCGATGCATTTGGGTGACGTTTGGGATGTCGTGCATGCTCATGAGTTCCTCCGCTCTGCGGGTGCACCGGCGGATGTAGTCAGACCAGAGTTCGGCATCGTCTGCCGCCTGCTGGCGTGTCTGGGTCGTGTGGGGTGGATCGATGCTGTCGTCACTTGTTTGGGGTGGGTCTGATGGAGTCGGCGGGTCGTTGGAAGCGTCGTGGTCGCTGGAGTTGTCAGAAGCGTTACAGTCGAGATCGTCGTTGTCAGAGTTACCTGTCGCTGGGATAGCATGCGTTGACGAAGCTGCTGACGTGTGTCGCCGCGGTGTCCCGATAATCGCTCTGACCATCCGTCGTTGCGTGCGGCGCAACTGCTGTTTGAGGGGTTCTGTTATTGTCCATGACTCTGCGCCGTACATCATTGTGGGTATGACGGTGCCACGGTACAGTCGTAGTCTGTGTTTGAGTGGGTAGTGCTTGCTCGTTAGTTCCTGCCTGTGTCCTCTGAAGCACGCCCATGCCGCTTGGATGCGATGCTGGATTTCGGTCGCCGATGCGTCCTGAAAAGTTATGGTCTGGCCGAGATTTCATCTTTCTGGAAGGTGGTAATACTTCGATGTCCATGGTTGCAACTCTCGCCGAACGCATCCGGGTCATGGTCTGGTGTGTCATGATCTTTGTTTTGGTCGGGTGTATTTCAAGGCCGTGAAGAGGTGCTTCCATGATTTAGTCCCTAAGCAGTGTCTTCAAATTGGATAGTGTCTGACTGACCAGGAGGATGTCGTCGAAGAAGCGAAGGTTGGTAAGAATATATTCGTCGGTGTGCGCTAATGGTATTCCTCGTCGTCGTCGCTGCCAATCCAGAATGAGTCTCCAGGGCGTGCTGCAGTAGAGCGTTAAAGAGCACTGAGCTCAAAGGGTCTCCTTGTTTTGTGCCTCGCCTGAACATGAAAGATTTGCTGGTGGAGTCGGTGCGGGCAAAGGCTTTCTGGTCGCGGTAGAGACGCCAGAGCAGGTGGACGCACTCGGGTTGCACGCCTTGTCGTCGTAGTGCTGTCCATAGGCTGCTGTGCTCTACTGCGTCGAACGCTTTCTTGAAGTCTACGGCAGCAATCCACAGGGCCTGGTTCCATTCGGAAGCTCGCTCTCGCAGGATGTTGAAAATGAAGAGGTGGTCGCGCGTGCCGCGTCCAGGTCTGAATCCCGCTTGGTCGTCGGGCTGGCGTTGTTCAAGGACTGGCTGTAACCTGTTGCAGAGCAGACGACTGAATAGTTTGTATCGCATGGGTATCGCACAGATCGGGCGATATTTCTGTGGAAGAGATAAGTCGCCCGATTTGGGGATGACTGTGATCGCTGATTTCCTCCAGCTTGCTGGTGTGGGGGCGTTCGGCTTGAGGGCGGTGTTGTGTAGCTGCAACAGAGCATTTTGAAGTTCAGGGCATGGCTTCTTGAGCATTTCTGCTGTGATCCCTTCGGTGTCCGGTGACTTCCCCTACTTGAGTTGCGAGATTGCTGCGTCGAGTTCTTGCGCCGTATAAGGTGTGATGTGCTGATGGGCGTCGGTCGTGCTTGGTGCTGCGTCGACGGTGTTGGTGGAATTGTAAAGCTCCTCGTAGAACGTCGCGAATACATCAACAATGCCATGGCGAGTCGCGTGCTCGGTGCCGTCGTTACCAACCATTTCCGTGATGAGCGCTCGTCTCCTTCTCGTCTCGATGGAACTGATGCGCTTGAGGTCCCTGTGTTGTTCGAGGATGGTGCTGGTCTGCTGTCGCCGTTTGGTGCGTTTCTGTTGTCGAATGTGTCTCTGGATTGCTCTGCTGATCGTCCGCCAGCTCTTTGTGTCTGCGTTTGGGGTGCGTCTGCGCTGCTCCACAAGGTTGGT